GGCTGCTAGACACCTTCCTTCATACCCTGAAAACCTGAAAGCCTAAAGACCCCACTCTTGCTAACACATATGCTTGTCCTCCTTCCCCACGCAGCTGCGGTGTGAAATGGACCAGGAAAAGCTAGAACGTCAAGGAGAAAACCAAGTGGGCGCGGCGCTACCTGGAGCTCGACTCCCTGAAGAAAACGATGCGGATATGTTTTGTCAGCATTCCATCAATTCGATAGTGGGCGGTGTCAAACTAGAATTTTATATGCATATGGTTATAGGCTAGAATAGGGTTTAGTTTCTTAGAGGGGTAATGGTTGTTCTTTTTCTACATTTTCCTCTCTCGACATGGTATAGAGTGATAGGTTATATCAAGCTTCCACTAGCATTTAATCTCCTCTTTCCTAGCAGATTCTCCCAAACCTAGCTCGACGCGCTTATGCCTTGTTCCCTTGTGTGTCACATGCGGAGATAACTACTACAACGGGAGCTAGATTACGGGGAAGGCATGGGTGTAGGAGTAATCGGAGCGAGCCTTAGCGTGTTTGTTTGTGTTTTCTCTTATTGCGCATTCACAGGGGAAATTGGCAAGTGTTTCACTAGCAAAAGTTCACAACAATGATAGCAACAACATTGGCAACAATGACTACATCAAGAGCTAGCATGCAAGTAGGTCGACCTCCAGCGCAGCATGGTCGATCGCGTTCCAGCGCAGCATGGTCGACCGCACTCCAGCAGTGCAAAGTGGCGACCTGCCAACGTTGCAAGTCGACGGCGTGCCAACGCTGCATCGAGGTGGCTGCACAGCATTGCACCCGCATGACAGAATCGCACCCACTTCGCCGATGCTCGCTGCTGGTTGGTGTGCTGTGCCTCGTCACGAGTACAGCGCGGACACCAAGCCGACCACGTGTGCACAGCTGCACCTGATCCGCCACATCGACCGCGAAATACCACCTCCGAGGTCGGCGTCACCAGAACCACCTGGGCAACTATCGCGCACCTCCGCAGAACCCCATCGCCCGGGTAACTTGGTCGACCAGGCAACCACGTCAACCACCGCGAGTCTGGCCGCCAAATTCGCCAAGTCGTCGGCCTCTCAGGTCGGCGCCCCTCCCAGGACAACGCCCCTTTCAGGTCGGCGCCCCTCTCAGGACGGCGCCCCTCCCAGGTCGGCGCCCCTCCTAGGACGGCGCCCCTCCCAGGACGGCGCCCCTCCTAGGTCGGCGCCCCTCCCTGGTCGAGCCCCTCCCAGGTCGGCGCCTCACCATGTCGACCAAGGTTGAAGTTTGCCGCCGGCGCCCGTCGTCGGTGGCTTCGCAATGGCCCGGTACAGGTCGACCAAACTTGTCGACCTGCGCGCCTAAGTCGGCGTTGCCCACTCCAGCAAGTCGGCTGCGCACCCGGCAACAAAACCGGCTCTGCCCAAGCGAGGACGGGGCCAACATACAGCTCCCGATGACACTCCGCTACTGCGTTCACGCTTGGGCCACCAGCCCACACTACAGCACAAGTCGGAGAACAGCTCGTCGGCGTGCACACAACACACAGCACACCGGAGGACGCACCAGCTGTGCAAATGGGCACGGCACCTACTCCTTCACGTCGCCATCACCGTCGCCGACGTCGGCCAGGTGTACTTGGCCAATTGCGACGAAACACCGGTTGGAGGCCGGAAAGTGCAGCGCCTTCGTTAGAACGTCGGCCGGCTGCTTGAAAGTCGGGATGTACTTTCGCGTGAATTTCCTGCGCTTCACCATATGTTGCAGCCAGGCATAACGACGCTCCATGTGCTTGAGGTTGCCCTGCAGCCCCAAGCCTTCGGTGACCGTGCTGGCCGACTTGTTGTCCACACGAAGGACCGTTGGCGTCCCAGCGTCCAGCAGGGAGGAAGGAGGAAGCAAAGTCGGCGTCCCTCCTTGCCGGCCTTGGTGGCCGCTACATACTCCGACTCGGTCGACGACAGCGTCGCACACTTGATGTGCCGGCTCGACTAGGAGACGGCGGCCCCTTCATAGACAAATACGTAGCTGCCCGTGCTCGTCCGATTCTGCTTGGCGCCGGCGTCATCCGCGTCCACGTAGCCGACCAGCTTCAGCGACTCTGATCCTCCGCCGAACTCCAGGGCGGTGTCCCGGGTGTCGGTGAGGTAGGCGAGGCAGCGGCCGACCTCGCGCCAGTACTGGTCGCTCCTCACCATGAGGCCGCTCCCCAGCTTGCTGCCGGCAAAGGCGATGTCCGGCCTCGTCGTCGTCGCCGCGAACTGTAGGGAGCCGACCTTCTACCGATACTCCTCCTGCTTACGCTCGTGGGCCTCCTCGTCGTCGAACGTAAGCTCGGCGTAGGCGTCGACGGAGACCGGTGTCTTCGGGATTCGCTCGGTCTGCTCCTCGTCGATCAAACGCCTGCGCAGCTTGTCGGTGTAGCTCTACTGGTGCAACCACAGATTCCTCGCCGGCTTGTCACGCATGATCTCCAGCCCAAGGTACTTAATGACCGGCGATATCTCGCGCAGCTCGAAGGCAGCCTCCAGCAGCTCCTTGAGCTCCATCAGCATCGCGGTGCTGCTGCTGTCGGCGAGCAGATCGTCGACGTAGACCAGAACCCATCAAGCCACTCCGTCGTCGCCAACCTTGAAGTAAAATGCCTCATCAACCTGGCTCTTCTTCCAGCCGGCGTCCATCAGCACATCGTCGAGAGCTCGGTACCACAGCAGCGGCGACTGCTTCAGCCCATACAGGCTCTTCATCAGCTTGCACGTACGGCCGGTCCCGTCCTTGTAGTAGTCCGGCTGGTACATGTACAACACCCGATCAAGCTTGTCTTGCAGGAAGGCGTTCTTCATGTTGAGCTGCATCAGGTTGAGGTCGTGGACGGCGACGATGCTGAGGAAGATCCTCAGCGTGATGTTGCTGCTCACCGGCGTGTACGTCTCGTCGTAGTCGGCGCCATAGACCTGCGTCAAGCCCTTCACGACCAGCCTCGCCTTCTCTCGTGCGACTGTGTCGTCGACGTGGTACTTCGTCGTCAGGACCCACCGGTTCTTGATGATGTTCACCCCGCGTCGGCGTTCGACCAGCTCCCTCATGCCCATGCTGATGAGGCTGCGGATTTCCTCGTCCGTAGCGGCCTTCACCGCCTTACCCTTCCAGCTCGCCAGCGCCTCCTTCACCATCATCATTGCGATGTCCCCGCGCTGCTCGGGGTCGGCGTGCATGTCGGGGTCGAGCTCTGGCAGGTCGACGTCGGCGTCTTCATTGTCGAGCAGCATGTGTAGGCGGCCAGCGGGGGGCAGACATGGTAGGTCAGCCGCTCAGGCGGCCCCCCACGTCGGCCTGAGCGTCGCAGCTCAGGCTGCTCGGCGGTGACCTCCACCACGTCGCTATCGGTGGAACCCTCACCCACCGACTGCTCCCCTTTGTCGTCGCCAGCTTCACTGTCTTTGCAGGCCTGCTGCACCAAGTTCGGCTACTTAGCCAACTTCTGCCCTGTTGTCGGCTCCCCTGCCGACTGCCCGGTCGCCGACGGCTCCCCATTCGGCTTTACTGCATGCTGCTCCCTTGTCGGCGGCTTCCCTAGCGACACCTCTTTCACCCACTTCAACAAAGTTGGCTGCATCCCCTCCGCCCGGTGCTCCCCTGTCGTTGGCGGCTTCTGCCCCACACCGACTTTCTAGACGTCAGGTCGGCCACCGGCGATGCCACCAGTCGGTGCCATAGGCGACGCCCTAATGCTCCCCTCATTGTCGGCGTCAGCCCATGTAGGTCGGCTACAAGGGGTGGGGAGGGGAGACAGGAGAGGGGAAGGGGAAAGGACGTCCTCGAGGTCCCCATCAACAGGCTCACCGACCTTGGCGAGCAAAGGGAGTGTTGCTGTCGAGGTATCAGTTGGCAGGTTAATCTGGTCAGCGAGTCCTCGTTGAGCGACTCCCACGTGCCCGGCACCACAAGCAATCGGCGCATGAGGTTGTAGCCGCTCAAGAGCCTCTTGACGACGTGCGTGATGTAGGACACCGTCGAATACTGGACGCCGGCCATCCACATGCTCGCAAGGAGCCGCCGAGCTCGGTTGCAATAGTCGGTCGCTGTCTCCTGCTTGCCCTAGGTAGTGCGTCATCTGCTCCTCCAGCTGGCCGATGTACAGGTCGTCGGTGACCTGGTACGTCGACGTGATGAACTGCCACACCCGGTGGCCAGCGTCCATGTGACTCCAACACGACTTCAGGGCGATCTGCACCACAGGCGAGCAGCATCGCAAAATGACCATGAAGGTCAGTAGGTGCACAGCGCGAAACTCCACACGCAGCTCGGCGTTGCTCTCAGACCACTTCTGGTCGACCAGGCCTGCTGGTCGCCGACTGCACTCAGCCGGCTTCCCCAGGTCGGTGTCACCAAGTCAACGCCCTCCCAGGTCGACCTCCCAAGTCGACCTCCCAAGGTCGGCGCCTTCCAAGTCGGCGCCCTGCCCAGGTCTACCACCGGGTTGAAGTTGGCCGCCGGCGTTCCGAAGTCGGCGGCTTCGCAGCGGCCCCATGCAAGTCGACCTTACCTGTCGACCGGCTTGTCAACGTACGAACTTAGCTAGGCAACGGGTTCAACTTAGGCCTAGGCTTAGGAGCCTAGGCCAAGCGGTAGTCGAATAGTTCAAGGCCAACGAAAGCGAGAATGAGATGTGTTTACTATAACACACAAGGTACATATCGCAAACATGAGAAGGTGCACCACCAATAGTACAAAAGCATAACTACACGAAAGCTAAAGCTACAGGCAGTATAAAATGTATATCGCGACACCACCCCTTAAGGGGTATAGCTAGCGCAGTGGACGATGGCAGAGAGGTAAGTGAGGAGGAGGAGGCGAGAGAGAGAGAGAGAGAGAGAGAGAGAGAGAGAGAGAGAGAGAGAGAGAGAGAGAGAGAGAGGAGGAGACGAGATAAGAATGAAGGAGGAGGTGAGAGAGGGATGAGGAGAAGAGTTGAGGGGGAGCCACCCGTGGCAAAACCCTCTTCCCCTTTTACAAAGGGGGAGGTGAGAGAGTGGTGAGGGGAGGAGGTGGGGGGGAGCCAAGCGTGGCGAAACCCCTCTTACGAACCCCAAAATCCCCACACCCACTCAACCACCCCCCTTGAACCACACCCCCTAGTTCAGCCGCCCCTTGGAACCGCACTCCCTCCCCCCTTCCTTCCTCCACACCCCTGCCCCACCCACAGTAGTCGCTGAATTGTCCTTCAAACGCCAGCCCCCCCACCCCCCCGTCCCCGCCACCTCCCCCCCACAGCAGCAGCTGCGGGAGGGGAGAGGCAGGGAAGAGGGTGGTGCTGTAGTGGCTCACGGCGGCCACCCCTTCTCTGCTGGCGGGGCCTCTCTGCTGGCGAGGTCTCTGCTGGCGGCGCGAGTAGCTCCAATTGCCGCCACTATTAGTAAAAATGCAGCCGCGTCGCGTTAGCAGAGAGGTGGGCAGGGGCGGGGAAGAAAGTGAGAGTCGATCTGATGGGCAGGCAGGGATACAGACAGGGGCGGGAGGGTGGGGGTGAATAGAGATGGGCAGACTGATGTCGGACGCGATGTTGTGAGCGAGGATAGGAGATGGGCAGACGCAGACATGAAATGCAGACCCAAGTTATGAGCAGAAGCAGAAACCACGAGCAGACAGCGGCAGCTTCCACACTCACTCACCTCATCATCAATCTCCTCCCAAAAGTCCGTCCACGCCCACCTCCTCCCCTGCAGCATACGCACCACTTTTCGCCCCTCTGTCATTCTCCTTTCCTCCTCCTCCCGCACATCCTCTGCTCTGTTGTCCTCCTCTCTCGTCTCTCCATCCATCCCTTTCTCATTGTCCACCCGCCCGCTTCTCTCACCGTCCTCTACATCATTCCCTCCCACACCTCCACCGGAGCATGCATCCAAGCCTGCCTCCGAGCCTAATTCCAAACCAATTCCAGGCACAACATCCAGGTCCGTATGGGCCAAAGCAGAGACTTGGTCAGGAGGGCATACGAATGGGGGCTGGAGTGAGGCTACCAGGAAGGGAAGGGGTAGAGAGAGGCTGCTGTGACTCTGGCGCCATGGCACCTTCGGGTGGGGGAGGCAGGTGAATGCGTGTGTGACATACGGTGGGGAGGATGGTGGGGGTGCGGAAATAGGGTGGGCGGGGGAGGAAATGAGAGGTGGAAGGGCGGAAAATGGGAGGGAGAGAAGGGGGGACTGAGGAGGTGTAGTGGGGGAAAAGAAAGAGGGAAGGGGGGCAAATGAGGGAAGAGGGAGGGGTAATGGGTCCGTGGGAGGAGGCTAGACGACGGGCTCCCCGCATTCATGGTGGCGCGACCATTCAAAGGTGGCTATTTGGCCTGCTCGACGCATGGGAGAGTGAGTTGCTGACGAAACAGCGACGAATGGGAGGCGAGTAGCGTGTGAGGCGACCGCCTCGCGGAGCGCAGCCCTTGGGGCGAATTCGACATTCGCCCGCAGCGCGAGCAGTAGGTGAGGCCAGCAGAGGGTGAGCGTGAAGCTGGTGTCGCCCTTAGCAAGGCGAGATAGGTTACACGAGAAGCACTCGCCTGCACGAAAACGCCAGAGGAATCGCAGTGGTTGAGGCTTTTAGCGGTGAGGCACTAAGCGGTGAGGCGCTAACTGGTGGGGCGCGTAGCGGGGCCTCATTAGGCCTAATCGCGACACCACCTTATCATAGTATGATACACGAGTCGCTCGCGTCTCGCCTAATCGCGAGATGGATTAGGCAGCACGAGGCGCTAAGGGGTATCATTAGGCCTTTTTGATACCCCGGTATGATACGGGGGTCGCTCTCAGCGGGGCGTTATAAGACGCGAGCACCTCGCTAAGGTGGTGTCGCTCGCTGCGGGTTCGGCGCTCGAGCTGCGGGGTCGGCGAGAAAGTCGCCGGCGACGGGGAAATGCGGCGCGCCTCTCCGAAGGCCATTCCTACATCTATCGCGCCTCATATGCACGAGTCTATGCATGAGAGAATGAGGTGTTTGTTGAAATTCTTATTCAGTAATCCTGCTGCCAGCTTTGTGACACGTGTCGCCTTACCACCAGCGCTTCTTTTAGTGGTAGCGCTGCTCCTCGCCCCTCCTAGTCTACTTTTATGTAGATGTATCACGGCCTTACCTAGAAATTAGTCGCTTATCCTTCACTCCCTCTAGGGGTTGGGTGTCGGGAGTATTTCTCGTGTTCGCAACTCTCAGCCTTCCAAATTTTCGCCTGGCCTCTCGCCAAGCCCATTCGTTTTCGTTGGGGTTTGCTTTTGGAGGGTACTGTTCCAAAACAAACAGTACTTTCGAATGTATACTGCTGCTTTAAGATTTTCTAAAGTTGTCCTTGTAAAGTAATGCATCGGAAGATTGGAATTCATGTGCTAGTTGAATGTGAGAACATATATTGATAATAATAAAAATTACAAGGTCTATATCGTCTACCAAAGTACCTATTTAATGATGTACCTATTCATGAACAGAGCTTTTATCAAGTCGACTCTTGGAGTGGTACTTTCCTGTGTCACATGATTAGTCGCGAGACTATTCGCGCTACTACCTTTAACTCACGCAAAGAGACACTTGCTACAGTAACATGCCCACAAAATAAATACTACGATACTACTGTAGTGTTTATACAATCAAAGGTCAAACTACTTTCTCCAACATTAGAAACATTGATAATCAGAGTTGTGAAACCTGGTATACACTCATTCTATCCTACATTTTGAACTTGTTTGTACTACCTGTAATGCCCCGGATAAAAGACCGGGGGGTATTATAACAATTTCACCCCCAAAATAGGGGGGGGTCTTAAAAAATGGCATATATTTTATTAGATCCAGGTCTTATCATAAGGTCATATTTACTACTTGTGTTTTGGAAGCCAGACACGTAAATAGTATGTGCTCCGTTTTTAGCATCGAAAGAAGAATGCGCGGAATTAATCACGCTGGGTGCCTTCTCCCATTGGTCCCAAAACGTGGTTACCACATCAGAATCTTGCGGGACCCAGCACATCGATGTGTTGCCACCTCGTCCTTCACACCTCATGCACGCTTCGAACCCTAGCACGTCCTCTTTTCGTGGTTGCGTTTCACCTCATGGTCCTCTAGACCCTTCTCTGAGGCACGAATTTCATTCGTTGGCTATAAAATGGCATGGTCTCTAAGGGGAGGGGGGTCTTATTATTTTAGCCCCTGTCTAGGGGGGTATTGCCAAAATGCATACATTGTTGTGTAGGCTGTAGTGGGGTACTCATTAGAGAGTACAACCTTTTTAGGGTTTCCCCTTTTGTACTCCCCATGCCTGCTAGTAAACATATTCGTTCCTCATCATTGTGACATAGTTTCAGAGCACGTAGGTCCCTAGGAGGTCCATCATTTGTTCTACCCTGCCCATTTTTCTGCATTGCCCCTAACGATCGCGACCCAGACGCCCGCTAGAGCCGCCCTGCCTCGCGCGTTTGCACCTTCCCTGTCTCGCGCGCTGCCCCACATGCTGCCAACGCGCGGCCCTAGGCGCTATCCGCGCGCGCAGCTGCTCGCGCTGCCCGCGACCTGCCAACGCCTGCGCTGCTCGCACGTCGCGTGCGTCTTGCTGCCCTGCGCACCCTGCTGTCCCTGCTGCCCGCGTGCCCTGCAGCCCACGTCCCCTGCAGCCCGCGCACGCCTTGCTGCCCGGGCGCCTCTGCTGCCCGCATCGCCTGCTGCCTGTGCGCCCTGCAGCCCGCGTCGCTTGCTGCCCGCGTGCGCCCTGCTGCCCCTGCTGCCCGCGCGCCCTGCAGCCCGCTTCGCATGCTGCCCGCGCGCCTTACAGCCCGTATCACCTGCTGCTAGCCCGCGCACTGCTGCCAATGCACCCTGCTGCCCTGCGTGCCCTGCTGTCCCTGCTGCGCGCGCGCCCTGCTGCCCGCGTGCCTTGCAGCATGCGTCGCTTGCTACCCGCTCGCGCCCTGCTGCTCGCACGCCCTCCTGCCCGCGTGTCCGGCTGCCAGCGCGCCCTGCACGGGAGTGACCTCCACACCCAAACCCCCTGCATCCCCAGAGCTGGCACCACCAGCTCCAGCAGCCCCAGTACACTCACTATCCGCAACTGCACCTCCCGCACCCCCAGATGTGACAGGGACTGGACGCTGAGGGGGCGACTTCGGAGTGACGTTCGACACACCTGACGCGGGGGGGGGGGGGGGGGGGAGGGGGCTACAAGGGCGACTTACGGGGGCTCAAGGGAGAGGAACAGCGCGGGGGAAAAGACCTCAGTGTTGTTCAGGATCCGTCACTTTGAGAACTTCTGGCAAATTCATTTCTCAGCTAAACGCAAATCAGCTCAGTAGGATTGGGCGCCTTAGGCTTAGCTACCATCTCCAATTTGAATCACTTAATCAGATGGTCTGGAGAGTGATAACCATTTGAAAACGTCCAGCAGCTACATGACTAGAATGGTGGAGGAAGTACAAGCATTAAGGCATGTGAACATTGGAGCTGGGGACTCCAAGCGAACCATGAGAGGGAAGCGGTTCTCCAAGTGCTAGGGAAGAATGGTAGGAACCTTCCTAGTAGCAAGGATGCAACCCTCATTATGAGGTCCTTGAGGTGTCACATGCAAATCCAATCTAGTTGGATTTTGCCTAGGTGTTTGCAACATTTGCAACCCATGCTAGAAACTTCTAGCCACCCCAACTCAAGAGTCAAAGTTGCCTTTCTAACCACCCAACCAAAGATCCCTTTGAAGTCATGTCCAAGTAATCACCCAAATTAGATAAAACCGCAATAGGTACTAAGAAATCCAAGTATTGGAAATCTTGTAACCTGGGCGATCTTGGTCATAATAAGGCGATCTTGGTACCGTTAGAAAGCTCTGGATTTCTCCAGCATGACCAAGCATTTAAACTTGGAGAGAAACACAAAGATGATAGTATCCAACAGCCATGCATGATAACACATCCTCGTGCATACAATTGACGCATGAATAGCGCGAGCACTCGGCAGGACGTTAGGATGACATGCACTCAAACTAACGTGCATTCAACACTCAGTACTTCGGTGGGGCCGACTCCTGTAGTAACACACAGACTCGTCAAACGTGACGTCCTGAGAAACGAAAAACTCGTAGGTGACCGGATTATAGAACACCCAGCCGGAGGCGTCCAAAGGGAAGCAAAGAAAGACGCAGGCACGAGTGCACGGAGACGACTTGTTCTCGCCAGGGGCGCGAACGTGAGATAGAGAACCCCAGACGCGGAAGTGCGCTGCTATGCCCAAAGAACCTGTCCAAAGGGAGACCGGCGTCACTCGTGGCCGTGCGTCACTAGGCCACAGCTTCAGCTGGTGCACGGAGTAGCGGACTGCCTAAGGCCATAGGAACTGGGGGGCACCGGCATGGCACATGGAGGTCCGGGAAACCTCATGACCAGGCCGATGCGTCGCTTGGCTACCCCGTTCTGTTGTGGCGAAGGTGGTAGCGTGTAAGACTAGATGATCCCCCGACCCTGACAGAACGTCTCCAGGCGAGTGGAAGAAAACTCACCACCACAGTCCGAGTGTAGGTGGAGCCCATACTGGCCCTGGGCGCCACCCAACGCTATTAGCCACAGCTCGAGGACTGTAGGCACATCGGCCTTCCATCACAAGGGGAAAACCATACTGTAACGAGAGTAGTCGTCCACCACAATCAGGAATTAGCGCTCCTGACGTGGGCCAAGGACTAGAGAGCAGCCCCAGACATCCAAGTGCAGGGTCTGGACGGGAGCCGTGGTGGGAGGGAACGAGGAGGAGTGAGGGGCAGCGCGCTGCCGACCCTTGACGAAAGGAGTGCACGGCGGTGCAGATGAGCGAGGAAGCGGGGCAAGCAACTTTGGGAGACCTGAGATCAGACGGGGACATACCATCCTACTGAGACGTAGGAACGACGGGTGACCTGGACGGTGGTGCCAGAGGACCGACGGGTGGGTGAGTGACGGACAGTTGCACAATACAGCAGCTACCTGACCTGACCTGACCTGGCCCTGTGTGGTGGGACCCAGTGTGTAGTGAGTACTGACTAGAGCCTAGCTCCCTGTGAAAAGTGGCCTGTGGCGCTTCAATGGCACCGTTTGTGCAAGAGGCAACAGGCTCGTCCAGTAAGAAAGTAGTGACAACTCCGAGGTCGTGGAGGTGAGTGAGAAACGGGGGGTGCGCTAGCGGTAGCCTAATCTGCTGCTGGTGCGTTGGGGGCAGCCTATGCTGCTGCTGGTTCTGCTGGGGGCAGCCTATGTTGCTGCTCGTTCTGCTGGGGGGCAGCCTATGCTGCTGGTGGGTCCGCTGGGGGCAGCCTAAGCT